TACTTACATATCCTTCATGCTCTTACGCAAATATTAAATATGTTTAATAATTGAAATAATATGCATATTAATTAGTAAACTCCTAAATAAGAACCTGCGTATTTGAATTTATTTCGAGTCGACTTCAGCGCCATCTATTAGAGAAGCTCCGAATTAACCTGTGGCTACTTGTATGAATTTTAAGAAGTTTTCTTTTATATTCTATGAAATTTTTACGTATAAATGGCGATTTATAATTTCTTCCAAAATTTACTTCAATGAGCTTTTAAGGAAATTGACGCAATTAATTTAAATATTTTAAACAACATTTGTTGCTTTAGTATATAGCCTATTCAAAGAAGAACTATTTTCATCATCGGGTAATTATTACTGGTATATTTTTAGCTTTATTTCATCGTAAAAATTACCATATTTTGGGAATTATTTTTAAACGATCCCTGATAGTTAGAGACACCAAAAACCTTTATTGAACAGTAGTATATATCTATTATCGGCAGGAATTTTTTCACTTTTCTCATTGTTGTAGTTTCAGCTACAAAGTCATTGAAAGAGCGTTGTGTATGCCTATGTTAAATACATTGCCCACGCCCGCCCTTAACCCCTAGCCGTGATTAACATGTTAGTGTTTTTCTTATGTTTGAGAGGGCTGGTTTTGGCAAGTACACTCATCATAGGATAAATACTGACCCGTTTTAGTATTTTGTTTTATGTTTGAGCGGGCTGGTTTTGGCGAGTACACTCATCATAGGATTAAATACTAACCCGGTTTTTGATTATTTTTTTTAGTTACCTCCGCGCCGTGATTAAAATGATAGTATCATTTTTATGTTGAGCGGGCTGGTTTTGGCGAGTACACTCCTCATAGGATTGATACTATCCCGTTTTCTTATCATTTATCTATTCCCTATTCACTAACACAAGGAGGTTTGTTTCAGTTTCAATACCGACTAGTTATCCAGATAACTTTTTCTACGACCGTGATTTTATTTCTGCTTTTACGAAACAAAATATTTAAGTTCAATCTTTTTACCGATTTAACAGTTAACTAGCTAACTTTTGCTACGACCGCAATTATTTGCCATTTTTCTTCTTTAACTGAAATAGTAATTTTGTTTTTGGTTTCGTTTTGGCTCAACCACCGAACCGACAATTTATTAATTAGTTACTATTGCAACCGAGCATCTTTCTTTTAATTTTAATTATACCGTCTGATTGAGACTAATCAAAGCCGATCTGTTTGTTTTTCTTTTTGTTCAGGGTTTTAAAAATACGAGCGATGGTGGGCGTTGAAATAATACTTACAAATTTTTTATTGTAAATAGTTAAAAATTCAATATATGTGTCAACGTTACCTTGACTATTACTGAGGTTACTGATCCCTAATTTACTTCCCCCTTTATGTCAGCAGTGAGAAATTCTTTATCACCACCAGTCACGATTAAAGCCCGTTACTTGTGGTTACTTATTACCTGTGTCTGAGTGACCAACGACCCCTGGAATTTTTCATCTCCATCTGTGCTGCCCGAGTACTTTCGACGCCGTTTCGAAAGTTTGTGGAGTAAATCACACATAAAATCTGGCGCCCGAGAGCCGTCCCGTCAACAGGCGTCATTTGTAAGTAATCGTTTTCTCTGAGGCGAGAAAACCCCTTACAAGTTTGTTGGAATATCATAAATTTAAAAAAAAAATTAAAGCAAATTGTCCCAAGTTTGACTTGAGTCCTAATTCACTTAATTTTTTTTTTTTAATATTGCGAATAATATATTATTACTTCCTACTATTTCTATGCCATGTAATTCCTTCTTCCTGTATTCTGTCAGTGAAGATAAAGTTTTATGCATAATTCGATCATTCTTTATCTTTAGTAAAATAATAAAAAAACTCATTAAGGATTGTTTATAAAAGTATTTTAATAAATATAATTTTTTTAGTAGATCACCGTTTGGATTCCGAAAAGATCACTCTACAGCACAGGCAGTATTGAGTATTGTGAAAGATGTAGTCTTGAGGGACTTGAAGCAGGTAATCATACAGGTATCAGCCTGTGTGACCTTTCAAAGGCTTTTGATTGGGTCCTTCATAGTATTTTATTGGAAAAACTATTACTATAGTGTAAGAGCACTTATTGGGTGCTATCTCACAAACAGACTTCAGGCTGTATATTGTAATAATACTTATTCTGACTTCAAACCAGTTATCAGCTATATTTGAGAATGACTCCACATTTATCTATTCTTCTAAAGATTTTAGGAGTCTTGATTTAGTATCATAAGATTTATACTCGATAGCTGAAGAATGGTTTGTAGGAAATAGTTTTAAATGAAATAATGATAAAACCCAAAATCTATATTTTCCTACTACCTACTCAAAGAGTGACACTAAAAGTGTAAAGCTGCATTTATTTGTAGATGAACATCTCACTTGGAATGTTCATGTGGACTAACTAAAAAGTAAGTTAGCAACTGTACTGTTTGTTTTATGGCAGTTAAAAAATTCAACAAGTTTTGATGTACTAATAATTATTTATTTCTCTCTTTTCCATTCGCATATATCTTATGGCATTGTTTTATGGGGAAATTATTTTGCTGCTTTAGAATTTTCAAAATGTAAAAGAAGGCCATAATGTTGTGTAATGTTGGATTTCGTGAATATTGTAGAACTTTATTTATCAAACTTTGGATAATGCCTTTAACTACATTATTTATTTATTATATTTTGGTAGATTCATAAAAAGATAAATTTTTTTGAAAAAAAAAAAAAAGAAAAAAAAATATGATGTACATGAACACAACACTAGATTTGTCATTAGATCCCAAAAAAAAATTCACTAAATCTAGATTTCTAGAACACACGACCAGATGAATTTAAAAGAAAATCCTTAAACAAGTTTTAAAAAATCTCTTAAACAGTTCATGCTGCGATTTTGTTTCTACTCTGTTAATGAATACCTAGAACATTTTAGTTAAAGCAGAGTGCTTTTTTCTATTGGGTTTGAATTAATTACTTAGATTCACTATTTAAATTAATTCATTAATTGGTATCATGGTCTTGTTGTATGTGGCGTTGTGGGACATGGAGCATGCTCACTATCCTATTCTATTTTTATGTCGATGTAACTATTTTTTTGTAATTTTTATTGATTTTATATATTTTATATATTTTATTGATTCTGTAATAATTGATCATTACTAATATGTATTTCATTTAAAAATTTTGTTATACCTTTCTACCTATAGGTGTACATTCAGCTGTAGCTTTTTGGTGTGTGTGTGTGACTTGGTATAAATATGTAATGTAAAATAAAATTTACTTTACTTTTCCTTTTTGAGAATTGGAATTGTCTGTAATAATTATAAATTGTAGATATTTATGTCATGTATCTAAGTATGCACTACTAAAAATGTGGGTGGACCAATAAATTTTAAAAAACTACGTATACTATTGAATTAAGCATACAATATCAATTTAAAAAATATTGATTGAAAAACCTATTAAAAATAAAGTTCTCATCATCTATTATAATAACAGAAAAGAAAGTATAGTATTGATGAAACCATTAAATATGTAAGATCTTTTTGTTTTTAGAAATGAAATTGGGTATATTATAATATGACATATTAAGGAAGAAAATAAAACTCAAGATGTGTAATTAAAAGAGAAGAGCTTGATATACAGGAATATTTCATTTTGGTAGGAAACAAATAATAACAATGCACTTATTTTCGCATAAATTAAATAGATTAATTATATTATTTGTAATATTTTTCCTAATATTAGTTGTTTATATGGGTAGGGAAAGTCTCGCAACAAGGTATTTTCTTTGAAACGAATAAATGTACAATTATGAAATTGTAGGGAGATGAATGGGACTGTAATACATTATTATTGTTTCTTTTTCTGATTCTACATATAGAGGGTAGCAAAAAAGTATGGCAACAACTTATTTTTGGATGATGAATGGGACTGCATTACATTAGTAATGTAGTACTTTTTTAGTCTTCTTGAAAAGACGAAAAAAATAATTTTTCTTATATATCACTCGATCTATGTTGCCATTTCAAAAATTCAAGACAAAAAATAATACCTTCGCAATTGCCTAATTACTACCAGGATCATATTCAGCCAAAATGAACAGACGAATTAAATAAATTAGGAATGTGTGTGCCACGTAAAACTGTCGTCTTTTGGAAACAGACAGGGGTGAGGTAAACAAAAAAATCATCACAACTATCCCATAAAATGCCAACTATTTATACTTTTCTGTATCCAGTAAAGTATAGAATATTTGATTTTTTTCGGTGAATATTTACGTTTTGAGGTCCCTGAATACGTTTTGACCATTTTCGAGATGATGTCTGTCTATCTGTGTTTCTTTTCAAGATAACTCAAAAACGGATAAAGAGAAAAACCAAATTTTAAACATAAGCTTTAATTCATCTTGAGGCATTCTAATGAAGAGAATTTAGCTTATGTATCTCCATTTAAAAAAATGTTTTGACACTGCATGGTTTTAATATTTTCCTATTATTGTGCCATATTTAACGTAACTCTGTAATATATTGTTGCATGTGTTTTTAAACTTGATAGCTTAAAAATAACTATCTTAACACAAAAAAAAATGGAACCTGAGATGGTAAAGTACCTGATTAATATTATCATAGTGGGAATGGTCTAATCCCACACATGAACTCAGATGGATCTAAATGTAAAATAAATGAAAGAAAATAGAAATATTTTACCTAATTTACCTAACCTGTTCGACTTGGAGCCATCGCGGGTTGCTTCGCAAGAAAACTATATATAAAATAAGAAAAATTAAAAAACTTAAGTCGAGTAGTTTTAGAAATATCCTTTTGGATAAGTTAAGAAAGTCTCAATTCGCCCGAAATGACGGTAACGAATAAGAAAATATAGTATAGGTGCTAAAAATTCAAATCGTTCCTGCTAGTTTCAAAATGAAGTACAATCGAATCTGTTAAAATATTCTAAGAGACACTTACCATCTGTATCTTGAGCAAAGGTGGTACTTTCCCACACTTTGGTAGCCCTAGGAGTATTGGGATTGTGCACGACTGAAGGTGCTGCAACAGCAGGTTGAGCAGCCACACTAGTATCACCATCTTTTTTCTGCCATAACAATTTACGTTTCTCGATCTGGTCCCGGAATCTACCCGTGATGCCCGGCATGAAAAATCTATCTTTATTTTGCGCGTCTTCAGCCTGAGATGCATCGGCGGGGTTGTTACCAGGTCTCTGATCTACAATTTAACAAAAAAAAAATGTAGAAAAAGGTTATAAAAAAAATTTGCGTGCAGCACCGTACACGCCAGAGAAATAAAACTTCTTGAAAACTCTCTTCTATGTTTTCAATAAATCTATCGCCACTGGTGAGTTCCTGATCATTGGAAACTATCTTATGTCACCCCAATATACAAATAGAGTAGCAAGTCAGACGTCAAAAATTACCGACCTATATCTATTCTCTGACTATACCTAAGGTTTTTGAGAACATTATAACAGACTACCTTACCTATGACTGCTCTGGCATCATAACGGATCATCAATATGGTTTTTGTGCTGAATTAAATCTAGTTACCCACGTCGACTTCCTGCCGGAAACTTTGGAGAAGGGTTGCAGATTGATTCTGTGTACACTGATTTTCTAAGGCTTTTGACAGGTTTAACCATTCTCTCTTACTTCTAAAGCTCGATAAATATGATATAAATGGGGTCGCACTGCAATGGATTAGTAGCTATCTTACGAACAGAACTGAAATGGTTAGAGTAAACCATCACTATTCTAACTCATTTCAAGTTACCTCAGGTGTTCCTCAAGGATCACACCTTGGTCCCTTATTATTCAACTTATTTATAAATGACATCATTCATTGTTTTCAGTATGGCAAAGCACTATTGTTTGCAGATGATTTAGAAGTTTTCCTGATTATTAAAACCATTTATGATGCCCTCTGGCTTCAGTCTGACCTTAATAATCTATCAAACTGGTGTGTTCCTTAAATGGCATGGACTTGAATGCCATAAAGTGCCATGTCATGCTCTTTTATCGATCCCATGTACCAACTTCTATTTTTGATTATAACTTAAATGGTCATATCTTGGAGTCTGTTAATCAAATTAAAGACTTTGGAGTTATTCTAGATCCCAATTTAAGCTTCAATCAACACATACCTAAGGCTATCCATAAATCCATGAAAATGTTAGGTTTTATCAAAAGGCCAACACATAATTTTACTGACACAACTGCAATTAAAGTCCTTTATTGTTCACTAACTAGTCCGACCTCACCTACAATATTGCTCTTCTGTCTGGTCCTCCACATTACATAACGCACAGTAGAAACATAGAAAATGTGCAACATAAATTTCTTAGATACATAGCCTATAAATTGGGTATCCTTTACGAGTATGGTTTGATAGAGAATTTTCTAAACATCCCCTCTTTGGAAACTAGGAGGAAACAAAGAGACCTTACATTACTTTTCAAAATTATTAATGGCAGATGCAGCTGTACTGAACTTCAAACAAAAATAAATCTTTATGTTCCAACACGCTCAACTCAACAGCAACAAACATTTTATGTACCTTTTTATCGTTTAAACCATACTTATAGCAGCTGTATTCCAAGAATGTTAAGATTAGTCAACACTTATAACGATCTTGAGATATTTAACACTCCTTTTCATAAATTTATAAAGCAATTTCTTAGTACAGAGCTTAATTCTTCGATCTTTAATGTTTAATGTAAATATTTTATTCAACCTTATTGTCTTTTTAAATCTTTAAATTCTTTACCTATTTTAGTCTATATGTAATGAATTATAACACGTTTGTATTTCAGCGCCACATATATTTCACTACATTTTAATTATAATTTAAAATTGTAATTTATTTCTCAAATGAACTTGCCTGTTAATAAATAATTGATTAAGCATTAGGCATTTTAACGACAGTTGTAATGTAATTGACAATGATATAAATACTTAAATAGATTGCTCAAGCGGTAAGGCACGCAGCCATTTTACCTCGTAAGTACCATAAAGTGATTGGAGAGTGTGATTTGTGGTGCTCTTTAAAAATCGGTTTAGCACATTCTAAAAAATAAAAACTTGACAGATTAGGGATGCCTACTAGCAGTACCAGCGCCTAATGCGACCCGCTTTGAGCAATCTATATAATATTTATATCATTGACCCTGTCAATTACATCGCCGAGTGTCAACTGTCGTTGAAATGTCTAAAGTATAATTTATAACCACCGTAACGTAACTTAACTTAACGCCGTAGAAACTTAACCTAAGATATAAAAATAAAGTCTATTTATAAATGTCCGTAACGTAATAGTTGAGCATGCGTGTTGATTTCAGAGATCATCAAATTATTGTCAACCTTATGAAATAAACAAGTGTAAACTATGTACTTAACCTCTAAATAAAACTTATAAATTATGATTTTACTATATAGAAAGAATATATTAACTACTTTAAAAGCAATAATATAAAAATATAATAAAACAAAATAGTTTACCGAAGATGTTGATTGTTTTTGAGCAATAATGAGAATTTAATCTTTCCTAGCAAAAAAGTGTTGTGTCTTATTTCAGTTCTAGACTTCATGTTTATAGGTATATGCAGCTACACTCATATCTCATAGATAGTTTATCCCCAATAACATAAACACAAATCATTCATGATAATGTATGTCCATCAAAAAGAAGAATGATAGTTTACAAATGGTATTTTTCTATTTATTTATAAAAATAAATAAAAAGAGAATAATTGACAGTTATCACATGCTAAACGCAGAATTATCTCATTGGCTAACCGTAAGGTCTTAAGTTAAGTTAATGTTGTTAAGTTAAAAGTTGGTGAACTTTCTACGGTACGTTAAGTTCTTAAATTACGTTACGGCGGTTATAAATTAAGCTTAATTCTAGTGATAGTTGACACTCAGCGATGTAATTGACAATTATATAAATAGTTATATAGATTACTAAAAGCGGGTATTGCACGCGGCTATTTTGCCCCTTCTCTCTTTCCTCTCTCTCTCTCCATTCTCTCTGCATTCTTTCTCCATTCTCTCTCCACTTTCTTTCCACTCTACCCCCTCAACCTACCCCACTCCACCCACAGTACCCCACTCCACCAACCCGCACTACCCCAGTCCACTCTACTCCATTTGCTCCGCTCCGTCTCCACTCCAATAACCTCTGCTCTGCTCACCACTCCAATTCACTCTGCTTCGCTCACCACACCGCTCCGAACTTGCTCCGCCTTGTATCTTTCAAACAGAAAAATCGTATATAAACTTTCAAGGTCAATGTTCTTTTAATTTCGTGCCGGTACCATGTTACTCTCCATTCTCGCCAATTATCGGACCACTACATATTCGTCAAATATCGAACTGCAGCATAAGAAGTTTTACTTTAAAAATAAACGTTAACATATGGGAGTACCTTAGGATTCAACATTTGGCCCGCTTATCTTTCCAATGTATAGAAATAATACATTTACATTCTTTAAATAGTATGAGGCAAATTATTTTCTTACCATTTTTAACGTTTCTATTTCCTCTGTCGAATCTTCTTTGGAACCCTCCTCTGGCAGGCCTATCTCTTGATCTAGACCTCGATCTTCTTGGAGATCTACTTCGTCTCCTCTCTCTGCTATCTCTAGGCGATCTGCTTCTTCGCCTGTCTCTATCTTGCCTATACCTATCATCTCGGCTACTGTATCTTTATTGAAAATTAAAATTTAGATGAAATTAGGAATATTGTTATCCTAAACACATTCTTCTTCAAACACAATTATAGCTATATATCTGCATCTAAATACAAAACTGTAAATATTGTGACCTTTACTACTGACCTTTCTCTATCCCTAGATCGGGGCCTGCGATCATCTCTTCTGTTGTCCCTTTTGTCATCGTCTCTATCTTTATGTCTATCCCTATTTTTATCATCTTCCCTACTTTTCACACGGTCATCATCTCTGCTCTTTGCCCTGTCATCATCTCTACTTCTTGCCCTGTCATCATCTCTGCTTCTTATCCTGTCATCATCTCTACTCCTTGCCCTGTCATCATCTCTACTTCTTGCCCTGTCATCATCTCTACTCTTTGCCCTGTCACCATCTCTATTCCTCGTCCTGTCATCATCTCTACTCCTTGCTCTGTCATCATCTCTACTCCTTCCCCTGTCATCATCCCTTTCTTTCCTGAAAGAGATATTTTCATCCTTAATGGAGAAGATAATCGTATGCTGTTAAAGTATCATTTAAATATTATAAATAAGCCTTTAAATTTCTTATGAAATTAGCTCTTTAATTGTACGTTACTCGATAGTAATTTCTAAATGCATTTAAACTTCTGGAGTCAGAATCTGTTTCTAGAGCTCGATTTTTTTGTTAAGAGCACACTTCGTCATAATATGCAGAAACCAATTTGAGTTTGTAGGCGTGGTCAGACAGATTTAAACGTGATCGAAGCCACCTGCCGCTCATCACCGCTCATACAAGTTGAATTCAGTAGCATAGTGTTACTTATTTGTACTTGTTGCATTTATTTAGCTATACTGAGTGTGGCATAGCTATGACGAAATGTGCTCTTCACAAAAAAATCGAGCTCTACCTCTTTTTAAATAGTACATAGGAAACTTTTTCATTTACAAAGTATTTTAGCAAAATTTTTTCGTTCTCTATGTAGAACGAAAAAATTATTAGAATTGTATTTATCGTATGCCTCGTGACGTATACCAATAAATACAGAAAATTTAAGCAAAAGACATCCAATATTTGGTTATCATCGTCCAATGTCCAATAATAAAATATTGGAGAATACCAACTTGCTAATCACCATTTTTAATTATTTAATTTTTTTTCTTTGTGTAAAATTCTAAGAAATCTTGTTATTTTTAACAACTTTAGACATTATGATTCATTAATAAATACTGAATTCATTTATAACACAATTAGAACTCCTTTCTGCCTCTCAAAATAAAAAAATCTAAAATTATTATTAAGTATACACTGATATTAGATTTACTTGTGTCGTTTACATTGTATATTTTTACTTGAAGTATTGTAATCTTGAAAAAGTCACCCTTCGATATAATTTCAGATCTACACGTTTCAGGGTTCCTAGATTACGAAAAACAAGTTTCTCCATTCTGTTGGTCTGTCTGTCGTCGTTTGTCTATTGGTGCGATAGCTCATAAACGGCTTTAGAAAAAAACTTCAAATTTTGTAAGGTGGTAAGACTCCTTTTTGGTCCATAACCAGTTATACTTCCGTTTAAAAGCAGCCAATCATTATCGTCCAATAATGGTGAACGTCACGAAGAATATCGGGCGGACGCGAAGTGAGAGTTCGAGTGGGATCAAGAGGAAGAAAAACGGTTTTTGGTTTAGTGGTTTTAATTTTCGATTTACATTAGTTTCAATACTCAATAGAAATAAATATCTACTGGCACGTACAGAAGAAGGATATATGGTAGCAATAAGAACTAACCTAACAAGACTCTTAGAAACAATGAAATTTATTATTGGTTCAGAGTTTGGTGAAATGACACTGCACACTGCAACTAAAGATAGGGACCAGACTTATTAAAATTATGTATCAAACAAAATATATGGCTTATAAAATTAATATAAATGAAAAGAGAAAATATTATGACTCTCAAGTTATGGAAAATAAAAATAATTCTATTAAATTATGGAATATAATGAAGGAGCTGTTACCTAAAAATTATAAACATAATGACTTTGTAGAAATTTAAATAAATGAAAATTTAATTATAAAAGACATAAATGAAATTCCAGATGCACTTACTTAACAATATTATAATGATAGTACTGACTTAAATCTAATATAAATCAGAACGTTAATAATTTTCCCATTATTGTTAAAAATGATGTCTTGTTAGTTTTGATAGTTTAAAAGAAATTGTTTTTGATATATCGAATAAAGGAAGTCCAGATGAAATTAATGTACTGTTTTTAAAAACTGTTTCGAAATTCTGCTAATCCATTGATAGATATAATAAATTCCTCGTTAGAAACTAATAGTTTCAGACGACCTCAAAATGTTAACAACATCAATATCAATAGCTAGGGTTGAGAATTCAAATAGGGCAGTGGATTTAATTCCTATTGATATGTTATGTACACTATGTACAGTAGAATTCAATATCTGGAAGACAATAATATGTTTAATAGTAATCAATCAGTCTTTCTGGGGAAAGAGCTGTGAGGCTGCACTACAATATGTTTTGAATGATTGGAAACAGAATCTTGACAACAAGTTGATTACAGGTGCTCCTTTATTAGACCTACAAAGAGCATTTGAATCAATAAATCGATCTCTACTGGTTAAAAAGTTGATATTATTAAAAATGCACTACAATGGCTTAAAAGTTACCTGAACAATAAAAAACAAAAATTAAGATTTAAAAATATTTCATAAACAAAAACAATGAATTAGTTGTACATGCATCTATTTGCAGATGATACTCTGCTTTATTATTCTGCTAATTATTTGCAGGAAGTAACCGCTACTATGAATGGCACATTAAAGCAAATATATGATTGGTACTGTTTTAATTCATTAAAAGTAAATATTAATAAAATTAAGTTTACGATCATCGGAAATGTTAGGTATTACAATGAATTTACTGAATATAATATGAAAATTAGTATTGAAAATGATATCATTGAAGTCGTAAAAAAAATACCTGTCTGGGAGTAATAGTAGACCATCAGCCGGTTGCAAGAACGATTGTTAAAATCTCTCGTTAGCTAATGAACTCATAACTTTATTCACTCCCTAAATTATTTTCTAAATGGTAAATTTGGCAACGGCGCTTTTCCAAGTGACAGTATGAAGTAAAGTGTGTCGATATTCGAGATACTTCCCTATAAAGAGTTTTATCTGTCTTTGCCGTTCCAATTTAAGAGAACACTCGACAGGTGAACACGAAAGATGTTTTTGTAATGAGCTAAAAATTTGTCATAAGGAATGTTGCTTCGCATTACAATGCCTGCAAAGAAAGTCAAACGGCAAGAGTCGAAGAGCGTGAGACTAGACGAACTTTTAACATTAGAATTGTTTACAAAATATACTTATTTGAAAGTACGTAAAGAAAACGAATTTTAAGAAGATTTAACAATGTGAATGTGGATTTTACGATGGAAAACAAAGGATTATTCACATATAGTAAGTACTTTAATTATAAGAAATAATATTTCTTTATTTACAAATATTTTCTTGTAGCCAAACCTAATATGCAGTGATAGGAATTTATTAATAATGCAAATAAAAATAACAAATTTTGAGAAACCAAAAGGAACAACATGACAGAATATAAAATAAAATTAATTAGGTACTCTGTTCTATAATCTAAATTAATAACAAAAACGTACATTAAAAATCAAATAAAAATTAAAACGTTAATGGTGTTCTACTTTTTTATTATTAATAAAAACAATATACATTTATAAAAGCTAAAATTCCTGAGCAACATTTATTTTCATGAACTATTTAGATATTAAATTATAAGGGTTTGAATGTGATCAATTTCATGAACAAAAATAAAAAATATAGGTAAGTACTAAAAGTTAATGCAACAAAATGTTTTTCAATGTTTAAAATGTTTCGGTTTCTGCCCAAGGGGTGTCTTCAGGACTGAATGCAGCTATTATGTATGAAACTTTTTTCATTAAAAAGAGGACAAAGGTACCCATAAGTGTGATGTCTTCCAGATGAGGCAAAGGGTGGATTGCCAGAGGAGGGGAAAAGTTTTCTTTTATAAGTTGACTATATTACTGGTTGTTAGAGGTGTATTTAGGCTGGTTATATTTAACTTTATCAAGAAAGGGATGGAACAAGTACCTGTCTTCTGAATAGGAAGAAAGCGAAGAGGTAATAACTGAGAATGTGGTACCTACGAAAGAGGTAAGAAACAAAAATCACCCTCCGTAAACCAGCTGAGTTTTTGTATCCTAAGAAACTAAATTAATACCAGTTGGCTAAAAGTAACATTAATAACTTCAGTAGTAACCCTAAAATACTGCCACTAAGATATTTAATAGAACTAATAGGTACTTAAGGATTTTAGTATGTTATAAAAGTTACTAAAGATCGGCTATTTTCAGTATTACAGTTCTTGTTCTACTTGATTACGTGGAATACGGATATTGTTTAAGGCTTGTTTGTTACTATTCTAAAAAGCAAAATTCTGTTCCAGATATACCTCAAAACAGCTCCCTGTATATCCTTTTTTATGCTTTTGTCACAATATGTAGACCATTTTCAAAATTCCGATATGTATAATTTTTTTCTCAGCATTTATTTCTTTTCTAAGTTGGACATTTTAACAAAAACCTAGCTAAATTTAAAAAATATAGGATATGCAAGAAGAATAATTAGTTATGGCCGAAAAATAATTGTATACATATTTATTTATTGGACCTTTAAGTAATGAGTCGTTATAGGGATTCGTTAGTTATGGAAATACATAAAATAATTATTGGACCACTAACTAAAGGCTTGTTAATGTCCCATTAAAAAAACAGTTGAATAAATATTGTGGACATCTGCCATCTTTTAAAAATTATAATCGAAGTTCTTTTTATTAATATACATTAATATTTATACATATACGCATTTTTATACAATATTTTATATATTTTGGATTTAATATTAAGGTACATAGTAGGGTGCTTCATTTTCAGGCCATTTTTTTTTCTCTGTGCTACCTGAAAATCTGAAACTTTATAAAAAATTAAAAAAATTGCCGCCGGGTAAAAGGTTCTTAATATTATTTGACGATGTGGATACTCAACATTACAACACGAAAAAAATTGTGTTTAAACACACCTTACATAATATCGTGTCTTGAAGTAAAATAGGTCATTCTTTTTTTGTTTCTAAATATTCAAATGCTGAAATTTTATTTTAAAACACGTTTGGGGCAGAATGATTTTATTCAATGAACACTTGAAAAGGCGCTTTTCGTAGCCCTATTTAAATATGGGTAAGCAATCTTTATAATGATATATCTCATTGGTCATATCACAAAAAATGCACCGCGTTGCCAGATTTACGACGTTTCAATAGCTATCGATGATCGGAATGCATTTTTAGTGGATCATTAGTGCTAATGAGTCTATAAATATTTAACGATCGTTCTTGCAACCGGCTGCATATGTTGTTTTATTAAA